AAATGATTTTTATGATAGTTTCGAACCACCGAACTTCACTTCGTTTTCATATACTATGTTTGCATACATATCATTGTAAAAATGTATATTTAAAAATTTATTGTCTATACACAAATCAGAAATGGAAACCTTTTTTCTATTTAGTGAAATTTGACAAGGTAAATTACAGAAAATGCAGATATATATCCATAATCATTTGAAATGACTTTACCTTCTTAATTTTATCATGCCTGCTAATAGACAGAAATCTAAATCCACTGGGTTTGCTAAATCCCATTATACAATTATCAAGGTCATCTCATGCAGTTATACAATAACATATTTTAATTTTATATCCCTTTATTGTCAAATTTACATGTTGTATTTCTTCCTTAGATAAGGGCGTACAATTGACAAAAAAATTACATCAATTTCCGACCAAATATTTTGTAATTTGCATACAAGGCTTTTCCTACTCTATAGTGAATGAGTTCAATGTATGGCCTGATAGCTTTATGGATTTACCGTTTGCTGTGTTGTTGTGTGTTTATCCTTTTGTTTACATTTTGAATTACAAATTGACAGAGTCTATTCCATATTTTTCTTAACCCAAATCTTCATGTGTAGAGTCAAATGAACATAATTTACTCAAATGAAATTGAATATCATCGAATAATAGTTCATAAAGTCAATGAACTTTTTTTCCTTCTTCTCATTTTCTTTATTGTCTTATATTACCTGTGTACATACGTGTGGTATGGTTGTGTCTTCGTTTTTCATATGAATACTCTAATGTAAATTTGTTTATTACAGTCTTTTTGTTGAGGTAATGTTTGTAAAAATTATCTATTTGCTAATTACTGGTTGTTTGCCCAACATTTTTGTGGAATTTTAACTATTTCATAATATTTGTATGAAAATAAAAAAAAAAAAAAACATGTGAATATTTTTTGAATCGTTCACAATAGTTGTGTTCCAGTACTTTTTTAGTAGTAAAACTAGCAGAAGAGAGAACAGTTCGAAATGTCATTCTCAATTTGGTGTGCTCAAAAAATAAGGGAACGGAAAATTAGCAGAAATGCGATAAATTGTCAAAATTCAAAATTCCAAGAGTAAACAGTCCAAATCGGACTGGTGAAAACTTACTGAAAAGAGCGCCAACATTTAAAAAATTAATATTGAAGACGATAAGTTAAAATTAATAATTTATAATAATAATTAATCATCTGATTCCTCATTCAGCCAGTCCTCTTCACTGCTGGAATCATCCAAAAGTGAATACATCAGTTGCTCCATATTTTCTCTTTTTGTTTTTTGCACGACAAATATTAGTTTTTCCTTTAGTTTTCAAGTTGATCATTTTCTTTATTGAAATGTATCAATACATTTTTCAACCTTGTTAGCCCTGCCAATTAAATGTCAAATTTACAATATGCACATTTCTGCTCGGCCAAATTCATGTAGCTAAAACAAGCAGAAATGTGCACCACTCAGCGCCATTTTTTTCTCGAGAGAGCTGCAAGTTTTGCTAGTTTTTGGAGTACGGGAACGCGTTGTAGCAGAATTAGTGCTAATTAGTACTAATTTGCAGGTTCTGGAACACAACTAATGAGATAAACGTAAGACAGAACTTAAATCCAGTAGTTTGAAGTTGAAAGACCTTTTGTGAAACATTTACCTGTGTTTAAAAAAGATATATTAACTTTTTTCATGTATTTAAGTACGTTTACATACAACATCTCTACCGTGGTTCACCCTGATAATTAACCAATCACAATAAATCAGACTATATGATATACATTTTAAATTTATTGTGATTGGTCAATTAAGCTGCTATCAAGCGCTAAGGGCTTTACATATGTGATGTCACTTTTATTATCCACCTGTTTTCTCGTGTATATGTCAAAATTGTCATTCTACATATGACTCATAACTCTTGCTATCACACACTTCCATATGTTTTTTTACATTTTATCTGGTTACATTGTGATTTATTGTATTTTCTAAAACAATATAATATATTTTGGATGACTTCTTACCGAAAATTTAATTTTCTATATTTTCACACAATAAACGATTTTTTTTAAAGTACATATGTACTTTACTCATGTATTTTCCAACTTAAATGTCGTCTATGTGTGCAACTTCTACATATAGAAAATTTGGGTTTACATACGAAACCTTTTCTGGGTTAATCCGGGTAGACATTTTGTATGTACGTAAACGTGACAACATTTCATTGTCAAAAATTATATTTACAAATCAGAGATGGGACAAGATAAATTACAAAAAATGCTTATTCGAAATGACTTTACCTTCTTAATTTTACCATGGGTTTTACATATGTGCTGTCGCTTTTATTATGCATGTGTATTTCCGTGTATATGTCAAAATTGTCATTTTACATATGACTCACATTACTTTATATCTCACACTTGCGTATGTTTTTTATATTCCTTGGTTACATTGTGTTTATATTGTATTTTGTTAAATAGATATACTTTATCAGGTTTAACCTTGTGTAAACGTACTTTTAGGCTATACATATATTTGTTGGGTTTCATGGTAGCAGAATACAACGCTTGGGAATATTGATATGTCATAAAATTTAAGATGTCTTTTCAAATATAAGTAGATTTTTATGTTTTCTTATACGACGACATTCGATGGTTATTATAATACGCGTTTTTCAACAATTTTTACAAATTTAAGTGATTTTTCATTCAACATTTTTAATTCCAAAATTGGTTTGACAGTTCATTGTCCCAGCAGCTGTGTCAACGCGTCTACCTATATTCTTCTAACATGCTAGGTTTTCTATTGCTAAAATATTCCCTTAATAATTGGACATAATAAAAACAGTTAAAAGCGTTCCATATCAATTGTAAATATAATTGTTAAATATAACCTTGAAATTTTACGAGAGTTTTCATGTTAACATTGTTAACCCCTTTTGACCTTTACAATTGAATTTACGATAACACTCTGCACGAAAAACAATGTATATTTATATTTTGAAATTGTTGTTCGTTTCTTTACACACCGCTTTCCCACTTTTCTTTCGTACAATGACGGTAGTGTAAAGAGGCCCTCGATAAGATAAGAATATGATTTCATATATTGCGTCTATGTGCCCTCCGCTCTTCCGTTTTCCATAACTCCGCTTTAGGTTGTTTCTTTTTTTTCGCAATACAATTGTATTTATTTACCATTGGATTGTGGAATTTCATGATCTGTGTTTCTTTTTTCTCTCTACTTGCCACTCATTTTGTTTGTTCTCCGTGTGTACTACACAATAAGTCGATTATGCTGGAAAGAATGCCAAGTTCTGTTCCGCATTTGCAATAGCCTGAGACTTTTTGCGAAATTGAAATAACTCAGAAAATATATTAACAAATATTGGCGATTGTTTTTGATTCCCTGTCCACATGGAAAAGGGCAAATTTCTAACGGTTTTCGTATTGTCATTTCATTTACCTCTCTTTCTCTCTATATATCCATAACGATAAGCAGGGACCCTCAACCACAAAACGACAACAACAGAAACAGAAAAAACCAATTAAATCAGAAAATGATGACATGAACGATTTTTGCTATGAATTGGGAGGTGTGAATACCCCCATCCATCCATTCGGTATAATGTAAATAAAAAGGGGCCACCTTCTAGAGTTTATCATTTATTGCTAAATATGTGTGTATATCACTTAGTTTAATTGCTGATTACACTCAATATGCAGGCCGAAACAAGTTAGCCCAGTCATCTATCAAATATAGATTATTATCACTCTATGTATTTATAAAAGACCTTTGGAAGGTTACAAGTTGTTGTTTAGATAAAATACCTATACAAGGTTTACTAATAATAGAAGGTTTACAGGAGATTTACTCTTAAGCTGCTATCAGACGAAAAGGGTTTTATATATATAAAGTGTCAAATCTTCCATATGTAGAAGTTGAACACATCGTGTGATACATGGGCGACATTTCAGTTTTTAAATACATGAGTAAAGTACATATCATGGTAAAATGATATAGTTATTGGCATCAACCTTTGGGAACATTGATATGTCAAAAATTGTAGAATATTTTTAAAAAAATAAATATATGTTTTCTTATTGAAAAAAAGGTAAACCCATAAAGCTGTCAGGCCACACATTGAACTCATTCACAATAGAGTGGGAAAAGCAAAATAAGGAAGATATTTACAATAATCTGACCTCAAGCTCGAACAATTATTCAATTAGTTAGTGGGAAAAGCTCCCCAATTTCTACTAAAGGATGATTTATGATTTTATTGGCAACACGGGTAGAATACAGGTAGATGCATCAACGCTTGGGTACATTCATGAATGAAAAGTTATTTGAATTTGTAAAAATTGTTGAAAAACACGAATTATAATAACCTCCGAATGACTTCGTATAAGAAAACATATAAAAATCTACTTATATTTGAAAAAACATTTAAATTGTTTTGACATACCAATGCTCCCAAGCGTTGATGCATCTACCTGTATTCTTCTGCCATGGGTACATTGATATGTCAAAAATTTTTAATGTCTTTTCAAATATAAGTAGATTTTTATTTGTTTTCTTATACGACGTTATTCGGAGGTTAAAAAAACATATGCAAGTGTGTGATAGCAAAAATTATGAGTCATATGTAATATGGCAATTTTGACAACCACACGGAAATACACATGGAAAATTAAAGTGACAGCAGATATGTAAAACCCTTATAGTCTGATAGTAGCTTTAATAATATCTGAGAGTGGCTACATTCCATTCACAATAATGTGAAATGTAGTAAAGTTACGACGGCATGGCCACACATTAAGCCAGAAATTATGTACAGTCATTTTCACAATGTTCAAAGAATATAAGTAGGAATATATTTGAATTTTTGCGATTTAAACAAAAAGTCTATTATTTTTGGCTTTATTTTTTAATTTTTTATATTATTTGTTTTTTTTTTTTTTGTTAGAAATTTAATAATAATATACGATGTTTTTTATCCTTTACAGCACAATGACAAATAGTGTACGTCCCCTAAAAATAACCATAGTTGGTGATGGTATGGTCGGCAAGACCTGTCTGCTGATTACCTATACACAAAATGAATTCCCCTTGGAATATATCCCAACGGTATTCGATAATCATGCCTGTAACATTTCCGTGGATAACAAAGAATACAGTTTGACACTGTGGGATACGGCCGGCCAGGAAGATTATGAACGTTTGCGGCCCTTAAGTTATCCCAATGTAAGTCGATAGATCATAAGTTACCCAATTTTTGTTGGTTTTAAATATTTTTTGTTTTTAATTCCCCTTCCAGACAAGTTGTTTCCTTCTATGCTATTCGATAAGTAGTCGAGCCTCATTTGAGAATATCAAAAGTAAATGGTGGCCGGAGATACGGCATTTCTCCAACAATGTTCCGGTGGTGTTGGTGGGTACAAAACTCGATCTACGCATAGCAGGCTCGGAGAAGTTTGTGACAAATGCCGAGGGACGCCGTTTGAGAAAGGAAATTCATGCCCATGCCCTGGTTGAGTGTTCAGCCAAAAGTAAGGTCAATCTAGAAGCAGTATTTGAAGAAGCCGTACGGGCAGTGGAAAAGAAACCCAAAAGTAGTCCACGTAAATGTACTTTCCTATAGTGTGTTAGAAGATGGTGCAAACCCAACCTATCGTGGAGCAAAAGCACGAAAACAGAACAAGTATTTATTCTAAATACTTTAGTGTATAACGAAAAAACACAAGAAATTATGAATTAATTTTAAATTATAATATTATTATTTGCTATTTGTTCTATTCTCTTTAATATTCTTTTGTGGGGAAAAATCCCCCAGGAAGGTGGAAACATAGTTTCCTTTTGTTCTTTTTTTTTTTTTTTTTTTTTCATATTTACCTTCTGATACGTCACACTCTTTCCCCTAAAACAAAAACAAAACATTATTGTTAATTCAAATCTAGATTATTTAATTTTTTTTTGATAAATTATTAAGTGTTATATTACATATATAAAAGTGTATGATGAAGTTGTAAATTGTGATTGTTTTATAAAAAAAATCGACATTGATTTGATGGTTTATTTTGATCTGAATATATATTTTTATATACAATTATTACAAATTGTCTAAGTTTTTAAGTCTGTGACCACGCGAGATAATCAAATTACAGTTGTTTTTATTAACAAAACAAACATGAAATAAGCAGATCAAGTTGTAAATTTGATGTGTGACCTGGTAGCTTAAGATATAAGTCCCATTTGGCATTTGTGTAAATGTACTATTACACACTGCGAGAAAACCAGCAACGGAGTGAATGCCAAAATGCATTATTGTGATTGAAATTACATTACAAGTTGTTATTGTTGGTGTAAACCTAATATAAATAACAGTTTTCACAATGGCATAAGAATATAGGCAGCTGCATCAACACTTGTGAACATTGATATGTTAAACATTTTTAAATGTTTTTTCAAATATAAGTAGATTTTTTTATGTTTTTTTATACGACGTCATTCGGAGGTTATTCTTATTCGCATTTTTCAACAATTTTTACAAATTTAAATAATTTTTTATTCAACATTTTCAATTCCCAAATTGGTTTGACAGTTCATTGTCCCAGCAGCTGTGTCGATGCGTCTACCTATGTTCTTCTACCATGCTGTCAACATTTTGTTTACTTGTTTATATGTTTAATTCACAATTCCATGCATTTTGACAATACGGGTGAAATCAGCTGGTCTTCTCGGATTACCTAAACTCTAGGTCATGATTGTAAACAAATAAATGTCATTGTGAATTGTCTTTTTTACTTCCTATCACAGACTGAAATAAGCGGGATGCGGATTTGACCATTGTTTATTAACGATAATTTCCAGAGCAAAACCCATCTGTTATTTTATTCATTTTCTTAGTAAAATTCTATTTTTTTAAAAAAAAAAACTCATAAATTGCCATCAAATCATTGAATCAGAAGATTTTCTTTTTTCCTTTACTTTTTTAGTTTACAATCCATTCTCTTTATATAAATCGACCAAAGTTTTTTCGTTTTTGTTTCTGATACGTTCATATTTTAAGCGGAATAAATAAATAAATACTTTTATTTTGTTTATAAAATATTAACAGTGTAAACTTGACTATAGAAAAATCCATATTAAAAAAATATATTAAAGTAAATAATAATTTAAATTGTATGTATGTATATGTAGGTAACTAATTTTTTTCTATGTATGTTATGTGCTATTTGTTAAGTTAATATATATATATATATAAATATAAAGTAAATAAAAATTATTATGCATGTATGTAATTATTATAATAATATTAAATAAACTAGTCATATATAAAAAACTACTAGGTGTTTGAATTTTTTATTAGACAGGAGAGACATTCAAGGGATTTATTGCAAAAAAAATGTTTGGTGTTTAGTCTTCAATTCTTGACAAGGACCATATGGTTTATGTTTCCCTATTGTGAATTGTTATCAGCTGGTCTTGAACCAGAGTTAACTAAAACCGAGTAATATTTTTTTAAGTATAGAAAAAGGATAGTTCAATTTCAAAAGTCGATTCAGTCTAAATCTTCAGGGTGAGATAAAAAACTGCAACGAAGTCAAGCGACATAATTTGTATTTTTTTAAATTTTATTGAATGAAAGCAAAAATGTCGGAAATAGCATCAAATTTTAGAATAAGTTTAGATTTGTTAGAATTGGTCACCTTTGGCACGAATTATGGCCTTCACACCATCACAATGGCCGGCGATTGAGTGCTGGTGGCCAACCGAAGGTGCACATTTTCATCTGACCTTTTTTGACAAGTAAACACTATGTCTGTTTACTAACTGCTGGCCAACGAATGTTTTCTTATCGGAGAAAACCAAATTCGACAGTTCACCAGTTTCGGCCAAGCGAAGCAACTATTTTCTTTCTGTTGCGGTGTAAGTTCTTACACTTTTTGGAATTTCAATGGCTTTACCACGAGCATATTTTTCAATATTGCCGAATGGAATATTGCGATGTGTTCATTTTTCGGCCACTGCGACGCGGTTCTTGATCAGTCGTTTCTTTACTTTTCAAACCATTTCGAAAAGTGAATATTAAATTTTTAAAGCCCTTTGATCCAAAGATTCACCGTCTTTCTTCAGAAACTTTCTGCTTGTGAAATTAACTTTAAAATCCAAGATGAAATGTAGAAATAAATTCTAAAATGAAAGACAGCTTAGTAATCCCTATAAATCACAATTCACAATAATGCCACAATCAACATTCACACAGCCAGCAGCTTTTGTATATGTCAACTCCCCCAGGCTATCACTACAAAGATCAATTGCAGCTGGAAGAAGAAGCATAAGTTGATATTGTTTATATTTCTCTCATCGAGAAAAAAATTATGTCCACAGAAAAAGAAAAATCGGAAAAAACTAAAATCAATGCTCAGGTCAAACATGTTCCCAAAGATGCCCAGGTGATTATGTCCATATTAAAAGACTTGGGCATACAAGAATATGAACCAAGGGTTATCAATCAATTACTGGAGTTTTGCTATCGTAAGTAATGTACACGGACTGGAAACAGGAAGAAAACTTACCGGCCTTGTTTTATGTTTCTATTTGTAGGATATGTAACATGTATACTGGATGATGCCAAAGTCTTTGCTAATCATGCCCGGAAGAAGACCATCGATTTGGATGATGTTAAATTGGCCACGGAAGTGGTGTTGGATAAAGCATTTACCTGCCCACCACCTAGACATGTAAGTGGGGAAAATTATTTTCTTTCGTTTTTATTGGAATATTAAAACAATTTTTTTATCTTTTAGGTAATTTCAAAACTAGCTGAAGTCCGCAACAGTATGCCCCTGCCGCCCATTAAGCCACACTGTGGTCTACGTCTGCCACCCGATCGTTATTGCCTCTCGGCCTGCAATTATAAATTGCGCGCCGCCAACCAAGCCAAAAAGATGACTAAATCTGCTTTGGACAGTCGTAGTACAATTAAGGCCCAAGTTAAATCCGGTGGTGCTGGTAGTTCCATAAAACGCCAAACAGTTGTTACACCCAAGGCCCAAGTTGTTACGATACCAAAGCCGGTGATTAAGTTTACAACAACTGCCAAAACGGTTGCGGTTGATAGTAAAGGTATGTCTGGTAGTGGTGGCGGCGGTGGTATGTCCGATGCTGTGGGTGAGGTAAAAATGGAAGTCGATTCGGATACAAATGCTGTGGTAGGCTCCATCACCACTGTCCAATCATCCAATTCGGGAGTGAAAAGAGAACGCGATGAGGATGAGTTTGAAGTAGTACCATAAGTTATAAAGATTTTTTTGTATTTTAAATGGAAAATAAAAATTATAAATATAATAAAAAAATGGCTAGGTCATTTTTGCGCAAAGAATTAGATAGTCGCGATCATGTATGTGCTGCATGGGCTGCTAAACTACGAAAAATGAAACTATGCAATGTAAACTATCCGAAAGACTAATTGTTAAAGTAATTTTTCAGGGTGAAATGGGAATGCAAACATAGAATAGCACGGTGCAAAGGTAAGTGGAAGGTGCATGTGGGACACACACGCCAATGAGCAGTTAACAGAGAAGAATTTTCCTACCACCACCACCCAATGATATATGGACCACTGGCATTAGCAGGACCACGTCATTTGGGAATACCAAAAGAAAAGAAAGTTATCCCGAGACTACGAAAAGAGCAAAAGTCAAGCAATTATCTGATTCTGAAGTCAAACAAGATCAAATTGAGCTGGATCCCTAAATAAATTCCTAGTTACTTCACTTACTCCAAGAAAAAAGAATCAGGTTTCTTTCGAAAGAAGGGGAAAAGGGAAATTCGACAGTTGTCTTCTTCACCTCTCAATGCTTCGCTATGACGGGTCGAAAATCAACTCGAATAAAAACACCGATTCCAGGAGTATTTTAAAATTCCTGAGTACATATTTTTTAACTCGGAATTAGAATTTTGCAATTGTCAGTTGCGTTCTTTCCTTTGAAATTGTTCTATTTCCTAAGGCCCAAATATCGGACTATAAAAGTTTCTTGATTTCCATATCTTTGCAATTCCTCTCAAATAAAACGATTAATTTTTGAATAATATTATATTTTAAACGTAAACTTAACTATAAGAAGTATCTGAACAAATATTTCCTTGGCGCATTGCAGTGCGTGCTAAACTACTTCTCTTTCAATGCCAATATAATCGCACAACCAAGATCCATGATTTGTAAATATTCCGAACCACCATCTTGCAAACGGAAAGAGCATTCCTAAAAATGAACAAATATAAATACTAAACAAATTCAACCAAAAAAATAGTTTCCTCACCCCAAGTTTATCACATATCTTGGCCTTTTGCATGTGCGTCAAGGTGGGACATCGGAGAACATATTCATTAAATTGTTCCAACATCTGGCCAATACTGTATGCCTCATAGCCAATGTTGCGGACAAAATCTTCTAATTTTCCATAATCTCCAGAACGACATACCTCCAGATATTCACACAAATACGATTCAGGAATAATACCGGACATTTCCAAGAGATCTGTGGTTTGTATTTTATGCTGGGCACCCTTTAAACGATAACATGACTGCAGCGTTGTTATGGCCCGACGCATATCACCACCTGATATATTGACAATGGATTTAAATGCATCCTCATCAATGCTAACACCCTCGAGTTTGCAAATATGTTTCAAACGCTCAATAATTTGTACTTCACCCAAAGGTTTGAAACGGAATTTCGTACATCTTGAGGTGATGGGTTCAATGATACGCGACACATAATTGCAGACCAAACAGAATCGGGTGCTGCGACTCTCCTTTTCCATTGTACGACGCAAAGCTGCCTGGGCGGCATGTGTCATGGAATCGGCCTCATCGAGTATGATTATTTTGAACGGTGGACAGGGACGGCCATCGGGTCGAGTACCGCTGGCAGTTAATTGGGCAAAATTCTTAATTTTCGACCTTACCACATTGATGCCTCGCTCATCGGAAGCATTTAGCTCCAATATACGTTCACGGAACATATCACCAAATATCTGACGTGCTGCAGCCAATATTGTGCTTGTCTTGCCCGTACCAGGTGGTCCATAGAGCAGCATATTTGGCAAATCAGCTCCTTCTACGCATTTTCGTAGCACGGCCACAACCTCGGACTGCTCCACAACATCATCCACACTTTTTGGACGACTATGTGAATGAAAAGCATAGAAAATATTAGAGAATATTCAATTAATTTAATTAGAAAATGTTTTCTTACTATTTCTCAACCCATGGTGCTGGTGGTTTACGATGTTCCCCACTTTGTTGACCAGATGAAGTACTGGCCTGTGATCTTTCCGTTGGAACTGATGATTTGCCGGTTTTAAGAAATGCCTGCATGATGTTTATTCTCCTGGCTTCGTTTTTGCAAATAAACAAACGCGAAAAGGCGGTATTTTTATGGTCTGAAAATTATTGTGAATGACTTGGTTTGCTTAACATTCACAATAAATATCGCTGTGCTAAATACTCCAAGTATATTTAAAAATAAAGGCTTGTTTTTTATGGAAACCACGAAATTTTTTACAAAGATTTAAAAGAAGCGTATCACTTTTCTTTTTCTACTCTTTCTTCTATTATCTCGATTACTTTATTTATTTTTGGCTCATTGTGAACGGATTGTTTTTACTTTGATTCACAATAATATCAATTACGTTTATGTTGCCTGGTCATACGTCAAATTTACCCATCTTAAATGGGTTGAAAGTTTCATTGTGAGAAATTCTGTCTATTCACTTTTAGAAAGTTTAACAAAATGATAAGTGGTGTTTATATGGAAAAGGGGAGTAGAACTTGATGAATGTAATTTTTTCAGATCTCTCATTATTTAAAGCAAACTTCTACGTTATAATGGACTCCGCCGTTCAGCTTATGATAAAACGTATATATTACTATTTCCTATTTTGATAAGTAGCACAACGATATTAATGTGACATATATTTTTTGCATTATCTGTTATATAAATCGGCATAAAACACTATACTGTGATAAAAAGATCAAGTTTTACCAAAAATAAAAAAAGATTGATTCCCAATTCTATTGTCTCATGTGAAACATGATGATGATTATTTGTGTTTGTTTTTATCTTTATTTTCCTTTCATTCTATACATATATTTCTCTATCTCTTTCCCTACAAACAGGGACGTACTACATTCCCTCCCAAACCCTATTCTTCAAACTCTTCTTTTCTTTCATAAAAGCAACTGTGGAATATAGGTAGTCGCGTCGACACAGCTGCTGGGACAATGAACTGTCAAACCAATTTTGGAATTGAAAATGTTGAATGAAAAATTATTTTAATTTGCAAAAATTTTTGAAAAACGCGAATTATAATAGCCTCCTTCTAACTTAGAATAAGAAAACATATAAAAATCTACTTATATTTTAAAAAACATTTCAATTTTTTTGACATATCAATGCTCCCAAGCGTTGATGCATCTACCTGTATTCTTCTGCCATGGTACCTAGCATATATTATCATTCACAATCATTTTACGTGGTATTTGCAGACAACCACCCCATTTTGTTTTTCCCACCGGCACGGCGCCATTCACAATTAAGCAAATATGGCAAAATTTAGCACGTCATCGCTGAATGCGACGTCATTATTGAGTACCGGCGACGTCGACGCAACTAGAAGCAAGTTGAAATTTTTGTTCATGATCGCATCGCTTCTAGCATTCTTCTCGTTGATTTCAAGCGCAATGGCAGGCAATACGGAACGTACTTTTATCATGGTTAAGCCCGATGGTGTCCAACGTGGCCTCGTTGGAAAAATCATCGAACGTTTTGAACAAAAGGGCTTCAAGTTGGTTGCCATGAAGTTCATGTGGGTAAGTTACGCCTCCCCTGCGTTTATCTTTATTAATCTAATTAGGAATAAAAGAAAATGTTTTAATTGCGCTGTGTGATATAACCTTGGCTAGCCAGCCACTTTGTAAAAATGAGTGGTGCTGCCACAACAAAAATGTTAGGTTATGTGTGCAAAATTTCTTTTGTTCTAAACATGTGTGAACTGTTTAACAAACAAGTGAAAGGTAACATATTTGTTTTTTTTTTGTTGTTGTTGTAATTTTAGGCCTCCAAGGAATTGTTGGAGAAACACTATGCCGATTTGTCTGCTCGTCCCTTCTTCCCCGGTTTGGTCAACTACATGAGCTCCGGCCCTGTGGTTCCCATGGTGTGGGAGGGTTTGAATGTTGTCAAGACCGGCCGTCAAATGTTGGGTGCCACCAACCCCGCTGACTCCATGCCCGGCACCATCCGTGGTGATTTCTGTATCCAAGTTGGCCGCAACATCATCCACGGTTCCGATGCCGTTGAATCTGCCAACAAGGAAATTGCCTTGTGGTTCAAAGAAGAAGAACTTGTCAACTGGAAACCAGCTGCCGTTGACTGGGTTTATGAATAAACTATAAACAACAGCATTAATACATTCGCTGCTGCAATTGTGCGATGGTCTGTTTGAAATGGACTCCCAAAGCGATTGCAGGCATTTTCTGTGTTTAGTTTATAAGAAACAAAAAATGTTCTCAATGATTCCATGAAAACAAGAGATAACTTAAAATATACTTATAAAGAAAGAACAAAAAATAAACTGGTTTTTTCGTTGATTTAAATATAGAAATTATTCGAAGGCATACACACTTATGTAGGTTATAGCAACACCTCTTGTTATAGACATTCATGCTGTACTATAGAGGTGTGATTGATGTTGGACAAAATAACTTGGGGACATAGTATGCTAAGGAATTTGCTTGCTTATCTATTGACATGTGGTGTGATTGGTCATCAAACATTTATATCTGAAATTATTTTATTTTGGCACCTGCGAATCGTTTGACATTTAAGTGTGGGGAAAGGGGATTAAATTTAACATCAAAAATTGTCAGCACGCAATAATTGAATTTTCTTGAAGGTCATTTGTTTTCTTTATCAATAACTATTCTACTTGTACATGTTCACCTCCTCGCACAGTCTTGTACTATCAAGGGATTAGAGAAGAAATAAATATGGTGCCATAGGGCATGTAAGATGTTTGTTTACATACGGCTTTTCTACAATTGGCTTTTACAACTTGTTATAACACATTTATAAACGTAAATTTATTTTTCTTTTTACAGATTTTAGTTTTTATTGGACCTTTTGGTCTTTGGAAATGCCATACACTTGCCAGCCATAGAGTCTCCTGAGATCTTTTAAACAAACTTCCCTTAGTCATCTATTTGACGCCCATAGATCCTCTAAACGGTTATTTATAAAAACTCCTTCCCTATCGACTATGATATTCGTCCATAGACTATAGGCGAGTACATCTTACTTTATTAAGATTCAATTATCTCCTTGGCTGCCTTGTTATATTATAAGGTTTCCTTGAGCGTCTGCATGCATTGAATAAATACAACAACTTGATGACTCTTTGTGTAGTTTTGCAATGCTTAACTATATTTAAAATCGAAAATAACATTCAGAACAAAAGCAAACAATAACTACTCTTTAACACTAGCTTTTCTCCAGGTATTCAGCCCAATTGGGGTTGGGATCTTTCGGTGGCATAACCCATCCGATAGGTATTGACGTGCCATAATCATTATCGATATATGAATCCCAGATGTGCCTATAAGAAAAGAGAATAAAATTTAAATTACAACACAAACTATTTATTCACTGAAACCGACCTTTTTCTTAGAAAGTATTTAATACTGGAATGACCCTCGAAATAGGTTTTCTCTGACATGCCAAAAAGAACACGATTCCATTGCACTTCTACTTGCCGCTCTGTATTCGATTGGTCATTTTGTTTTTCTTGTAACAACGAATTCCAGACAAATTTTAAATATTGTAATTTACTGGCAAATTCCCGTGTCTTGGAGGGATCTTGGCAACGGGCCAAGTGTAATTGTTCCAATAGCTCAAAAGTTTTTAGAAAACGTTGGCATTCGTGCAGACTTTTTAAATGAGTGTGAGATTTTTGTTTATGTTGAACTGAGGATGTGGATGGTTTATTACTTTGGCTTACTGATGGTTTGATATCACTAATCTCCCAATTATCTGGACTTTCTTGTTCTCTCATCTTTGCCTGCCATTGTTTCTTTTTAAGCTTTTTGCGTTGTCGTTTTCTTTGTAGTTTCCGAATGTTTGCGGCACATTTTTCCAAAGGCTCTTTTTCAAGTTTTCGCAGAAGTTCTTCTGTTTCACTTGTTATGGCTGCGAGATTTTGACAGTGTTCCCCTTCGTTTGGTGCTTGTTCTAATAGTTTTATATTTTCTATGACTTTTTTAAGTTCCAGTTTAACCTGAGTTGTGCAATTGTTTGATTTATTAGAAGACATGTTTTAGGTTCTTTTTCTTTTTGCATTGATTAGTAAATGCTAATGTAATAAAAAAAGTTAAAATATAAATGCTTAAATAATCCTTAAAGGCTGAGATTTAAATGGAATTGTGTGAACGTAGTTATGACTTGCTTAGGACTTCTTTTGCTTCGGCTAAGACCTGTGATGCAGTTTGATATTCCTTTGATTCTTCCAGTTCTTTTTCATCTTCTAAGAACTTTTCCAAAAGTTCAACTTGTTCCTTTAATCTGAAAAGGTATGGGAAAATTGAAGTTTTTTTAAATTTATTTTTCACATAACCAGTAAAAGCATTATTCTGACACTCGTGTGGTTTGAATAATACTAAAAAAGGCAGGTAATACTAGTATTTATGAATTCGTCAAATATGTATGAAAATATGACTCATAGCTGAACTACAAGCCAAAATAGTACCTCCAATAAAAACATTTAATGCTAAAACAGATATGGGCTCATTTGGATAGTTCTCATAACCCTCAACTAATAGTCTAATTTACGAATCTCCATGACACACAAGCCACTGTGACTGAATCTCAAATGTTTGCCAATATTGAAAGCCTAATTATTATTTATTGTGCCGCAATGGTTAATACGATCGATTGAGTTTCATATTAAAGAATATCTTTAATATAGTTTTCAATTGATCGTATTAACCATTGCGGCACAATAAATAATAATTAAAAGTCTCAATATTGGCAAACATTTCAGATTCAGTCAACTGTGACTCCTAGTCATCTCCACCAATTAAAATAAGTGAACACGTCTCTCCTTCTTACCTTCTCAATGCATCCGGTATCATCATAAGACACTCCTGTATAACTTCCTCCTGTTTCTTCAAAACATGCTCATCAGCTCCTTCGTTCTTAAACTTCTCCAAACGATTACGTTCTGTTGTAATCTCTCGTTCATAGACGGTTCTTTCCTTGGTCAAACGCTTGACAACACCCGTTTTAATGGTTAACTGTCTGAGACGTGGATCTGCCATGATTATACTAAATGTCAATGTTATTACATTATTTGTGTCTTAAATATATAGATTTTGTATAAAAATTACCTTTTCTTTGTTAAATTATTGCTTTTTTTCGTTGTTTTCCCAACAGTTCGGTTTTCCTTTGTGGCCAAGGAAAAAAATTGAAGTTAAGCTGTTGAAACTCAAATGTTGTTGCTCTTTTGTAAACGCGGAGAGTGACTCATTTGATTTGTCAATGGCCGGTTTATTTTTAGGGTTGCCAAGCGACAACATTTAGGAATGTTAATTTATAGGGAATCAGACACTAGACATTTCATGAATGAGAGGACGATTATATGTGGGAGATGGGAAAAGCATTGCACAATTACTTAAACCAATCATGCAAAATGACAAAATTTTATATGTTTTTACAATCTTCTTTTATATTTTGTACATGTTGTGGAACAAGATATTGGAAAAAAACTACATGGGAATTTATATTAAATTTTTAAATTCCAAAATTGTTTTGACAGTTCATTGTCCCAGCAGTTGTGTCCATGCGACTTTCTGTACTCTTCTACCATAGAAATTAATTAGAATTCTTCAAAAAATCTCTAAGTTCACATATCATTCAACTTTGTTATTTTATTTTCATCAGATGTTTGGTAGCGTTATATGCGATGACTTACGCCAGTCAGAAAAGCCGTTTATGTACTCTCACCTTAAAGGAACAAAGGAAAAATGGCTTTCTTCTTATCTTAAGGCACTATCCATGGTAAAATTAAAAAGGTAAAGTCATTTCAAATAAGAGTTTCCATTTCTACATTTTCTGTAATTTATCTTGTCAATTTTCACTGAACAAAAACAGGTTTCCACCTCCGATTTCTGTGTATACAATGGATTTATAAATATAAATTTTGACAATAAGATGTTGTCAAATGAATAATTTTGAAAAATTGTAAACATATGATTGCATAGCTTTACCTTCTTAATTCTACCGTGGTACTAGCAGACGATAAAGGGCTAAGTACATAAGAAGCTTGAAGTCATGGCTAGGCATATTAATGTCAAATTATAATGGAAAACCACGGCTGGATTTTAGTTTTAGTGCGGCTCTGTAATCCCTTTGTGAAATGTCACAAAATATGCCTAGCCATGACTTCAAGCTTCTTAAGCTGGAAATACATAAAGCGCTTATCTGGCTGGCTTCTTCGGAAATGAACAAAGGAGCCCAGGGCCAAAATCGAACTCAGTCAACCTAAAACTCCTTTGTTCATCTACGAAGAAGCCAGCCGATGACTTAAGCGAGCCAAATATGCACTTTATGTATTTCCAGTCTTAAGTCAGCCAAATATGCTCTTTATGTATTTCCAGCCTTATGTACTTAGCCCTTAAGGGCCATGGCAGAAGAATACAGGTAGATGCATCAACGCTTGGGAGCTTTGATATGTCAAACAATTTTAAATGTTTTTCAAATATAAGTAGATTTTTATATGTATTCTTATACGAGGTCATTCGGAGGTTATTATAATTCTTGTTTTCAACAATTTTTACAAATTTAAATAATTTTTCATTCAACATTTTCAATTCCAAAATTGGTTTAACAGTTCATTGTCCCAGAAGCTGTGTCGATGCGTCTTCCTATATTATTCTACCATGATAAGGGCTATACACATGGTACAATAAGGAGGCAGAACAGCTTAGTGAAACTACAGAAATACAGCCCTGAGGCTAAGCCCTCTTTCTGTCAGATTCTTTCAAAATTATATGCAACAAGTTGTTTTAATTTTTTCATATTTTTCTCATTTTTAAAATGAGTTGAATAGCGCGAAAAATGAATGAAAAATATGTAATCAGCTGGCAGCTCTACCTTACCTTTTTATTGTACCATGGTTTTACATATGTGCTGCCACTATTAGTTGTGCCTGGTTACCCTAAAATTTGTAACAATTGTTTCAAATCGTTAACCCGAAAGTTCTGCAAAAGAAAGCAGTCGGAGAGAGAAATTTTGACAGTTCTTCAGTGAAAGTTTGTAAATTCTTCCTAGACAAATTTCTTCTTGCAATCACTTGCAACTCCTCTTCTTCTCTTCCATCGACATTCAATCAGATGTTTTCTATTGTTTGTTTATTTGTTTTTGTGCTTTCAATAAATATTTTTTTCAAAAAAATATTTTTTTTTTTTTGGAATTAGCAAGACTAATTGTTTTTGGAGAACAACTTTACAAAATGTGAAAACTTAAATAGTAATATGTAATAAGAAAATAAAAGACTATTTCCAAAATTTTTAGACAAACGCCATTAGGATTCCGGGGAACACATCAAATCAATCTGTTTATTAATAAAACTTGTAAAATTGGTTGTGCTTCCTATCTTTTAATTCTTTTAATGGGGAAAAATTGGCTGGTTTTGACGAATCAGCTGATTGGTTGCAAGTTTCTGCTGGAATACCGTCGGTTTACTTTTCGCATTTTCCTTGCAAAAGAGAATAAAACTACCTTACACTCTCAGAAAGATGTTGCTGGACAGTTCCTGCAGGAAAAGTAACCAGACACACCTTTTATTATCCATGTGTATGTCAAGATTGTAATACTTTATGGATGACTTTTTACCGACAACAAACAAATAAATCTTTTAATTAAATTATGTGTTTCCGATGAAAATAGGGTTCATTGTGATCGAAAAAGTATATATGTGCATGTGTCACACGATGTGTAGCGCTTCAACATATGGAAAATTTGATACTACAAATGTAAAAACATATCGCCTCATAGTGCCTTTATAACCCCATTTATAAACATTGATATGTCAAAAATTTTTAACATTTTTTTCAAATATAAGTAGATTAATATAGATAGTAGATTATAATAGATATACGACAACAATTGTTATAATTTTTACTTTTATTTTTACAAATTTGAATAATTTTTCTTTCAAAATTTTTAATTTTAAAATGGTTTTGACAGTTCATTGTATTCTTTTACCATGATTTATCTCCATTGTTAACTGCCGTTTACATTTACTGCTGTCCTGTCTTCTGTAAACGTGCGTATATGTTATTTTACAAAATTGACTGTTATAAATATACGTTACACTTTTAATTTAAATTTTGTAAAGTTTTTCAAAGTCTCGCCTAACGACAAATGCAATGGCAAAATGCATTCCATTGTAGTTTTTGTAAAATGTTTGCTGTTGCTCACGATTGACAATTTCATTTGGCACTTCCAATGGATGGGTAAGCGCAAAGAAATTATCCCACTTACACTTAGGCCAAAAAGGGCCAGAGCTTTTTTTAAATGTCTGAATTTAAGTATAGTGCACTCGTTCATTTCATGGGTTGTTGCTACTGCTGCTGCTGCATACATTGACACCGTCGTTGAATGGCATATGGGAGACAAATAGATTATTGATGTTAGTGGCCACCACTTGTGCCTTTTTGTCATCCACACCGAATGCCATCCCAACCCGCCGGCCCACTGCACACACCCCACCAGTGTATTACACTTACATGTGTATGCGGATGACGATGTCACAGACTGTGGGTATGATGCGCTTTCCAGCGCATGTGCATCTTGGGCATTGTGAAAATCGGCCTTTCCGTTTCTGTGCTCGAGGTAAGTGGTACGCAAAAATTTGCATCTCTCATAAAATCGTAAAAAATTCTAAAGAAATTGCAAACATCTATTCTAAAACGTAGTAAAATAACTCGAAACTTTTAAGTGGTAAGTAATTTATTGAAATATTTTTTTCAAATCGGCTGTGGTTTTTTTTAAATTAAATGGAAGTGAAAAAAATGTGTATTAGAAAGTGCATGTCTATATGATACATATAATATATATCGATATATATATATATGATGAAATGCCAAATGCAGGTACTTACCGGCCGGTGTGAAAAATGTGAATCTTTTCTTTTTTGCAAATTGCTAAAAAAATAATTAAAAGATATACAATTTTGGTTGGTATTTTATTTTTAAAGTCAAGAATACTGAATTTTCATTTAAAAATAATTTCCTTAAAAAAGGTTTAGATGTGTCACGATTTCGTAATTCAATATGGCGACATGTGGCAAAAAATATATGCTGACTATGTGCGCCTACTTATCTAACCGGAAATAAGTGAGTCTATTTTTTTCATTTCAATTATGAATGAAATGTTGTGAAATTCCCCGATTCTTTAGATTAAAAAAAATAAAAATCAATATTCAAAGTTGATAAAGTCCAGGAATAATTTCTATATTGGACCTCTTTGGAAAAAGTATGTATGTATAACATTTTTTCCATTGCGGAAGCTCAGAATCTTTTCAACTGAAATTTCAAGAGGGTCTCGAAATAATATCTATGGTTCGAATTTCGTACACGAAATATCTTACATTTATAGGAACTATTTTCATAAGTGGGTTAAACATCATTAAACATGTTTGTAGGTAGTATCCCAGATTGTGTCTACCTAATTAAAAATGTATGAATAATTGCTAGCCGAGTAAGGTACTTGACACTTTGGCAAAATATGAGGAAATGGAAAGTCTTAGAAACCTAGCACCTCATTTTATAATGTCCCATTTTAAAAGTCACATGATTTGTTTAACATATTTTCAATAGAAGTAAAGAATTAGAATCACCCATTATCATGATTAAATTGATTTACGAAAATATACGTTAAATAGAATAATTGTCATGCTAAGATTTATGTATTTATATTATCAAAGTACATTCTGTTCCTTTTTAACGAGCTATTAAAGTTTGTTAATCAATTTTTCCGTCTCTGAAAAATTGGAAAAAGACTAAAGGAGTGTGGGTCCAAAATCGATCTAAGTCAACCTAAAACTCCTTTGTTACTCCACGAAGAAGCCAGCCGTTGGCTTAATTAAACCAGTCAAAAAAGCGTTTAAGATGAGAATACATAAAACACTTTTTTGACTGGCTTATGCTAGGAACACAATTGGAGTGAACGACGAATTTTTTCGCGGCGTATGTTCGTCGTCAAAAATAAAACACATATGTGTATATGGAAGTGCACACAATCACGGCATCGGCGAAAATTTCGTCGGTCGCCGCGAACTCAATTAGCTTTATTTCTATTTCATACGCCGGCGACCGGCGAACAAAACAGTACAAGGTGGCCATACTTGTACGAATTTTATGTGTTTTAGTAAATAAAGTTACTTTTTACTTTAAAATTTGTTATGGTCACTCTACTATCTGTTACTCGTATAAAAAAAAAACATAATTAATTTGTTTATTTATTTGTGTACTTGCGCCTGAGTGCAGATGGATATCAGTGAATTTATAATAGAGAAGATGGACATAAGTGAATTATAATAGAGAACGTAAAGAATTATGTGTTCTTGTATAATTCATTGTAGTCAACAAATGACCAAAAGTAAACAACTTCATCAGCTGTTTTATAATTTCGTCGGTATTGTGTTCCATACGACGAATTTTCGCGGCTCATTTTGTCGCCGCGTAGGGCGAAATTCGTCGTTCGCTCCAATTGTGTTCCTAGCATTAAGTTATCGGAGTTTAGGTTGACTTAGATCGATTTTGTCCTCACGCTCCTTTGTTCTTTTCCGAAGAAGCCAGCCGATGACTTAAGCCAGTCAAAAAAGCGTTTTATGTATTCTCGTCATTAATGTATTCTCACATTATGCTAGGAACACAATTGGAGCGAACGACGAATTTCGCCCTACGCGGCGACAAAATGAGCCGCGAAAATTCGTCGTATGGAACACAATACCGACGAAATTAAAAAACAGCTGATGAAGTTGTTTACTTTTTGCTCATTTGTTGACTACAATGAATTATACAAGAACACATAATTCTTTACGTTCTCTATTATAATTTCACTTATGTCCATCTTCTCTATTATAAATTCACTGATATCCATCTTCACTCAGGCGCAAGTACACAAATAAATAAACAAATTAATTATGTTTTTTTTATACGAGTAACAGATAGTAGAGTGACCATAACAAATTTTAAAGTAAAAAGTAACTTTATTTACTAAAACACATAAAATTCGTACAAGTATGGCCACCTTGTACTGTTTTGTTCGCCGGTCGCCGGCGTATGAAATAGAAATAAAGCTAATTGAGTTCGCGGCGACCGACGAAATTTTCGCCGGTGCCGTGATTGTGTGCACTTCCATATACACATATGTGTTTTATTTTTGACGACGAACATACGCCGCGAAAAAATTCGTCGTTCGCTCCAATTGTGTTCCTAGCATTAATTGTCTGAGATAATTGTCAATTCCATGGATTAAAGCATTATCAGACGGAATGGTTTTACTACATATGTGCTGTCACATTTATTATTAATGTGTATTTCCGTGTGTATGTAAAAATTGTCATTTTGCATATGACTCACAATTCTTGCTATCACACACTTACATATGTTTTTTTTTTATTTTCTTTGATATATTCATGGTAAAACTAAGAAGGTAAAGTCATTTCAAATAAGCATTCCCATCTCTGCATTTTCTGTAACATACCTTGTCAAATTTCAATGCATAGAAAATAGGTTTCCATCTCTGATTTGTGTGACTAAAATGGATTTAAAAACATACATTTCGACAATGAGATATTGTCAAATAAATAATTTTGAAAAAATTGTAAAATATGAAAGCATGACTTGACCTTCTTAATTCTACCATGGATATATTGTATTGTCTAAGAAATGATAGTACTTTATAGATGACTTTTTACTGCAAATTTAATTTTCTATATTTTCACACAACAAACAAACAACATTTTTTTATTAAATTATATTTTTCCGATAAAAATAGGGCTCGCTGTGATCGAAAAGAGCGTATGTACTTTACTCATGTATTTCAAAAGTCATGAAATGTCATCCATGTACCACACGATATGTGCAAGTTCTACATATGCGAAATTTGACACTACGTATATAAAAATCTATCGTCTGATAGAGCCATAATGTTTATGTATAGAATACGTTTACATTTAATAATTTCATTTTTTTCTGTTGTATAAATTGAAAAAATCTGGATTTAGTATACAAGACGACACAAAAGTAATCCTCCTATCAGAAAATGCTATAAATTTGACGATTGGCCCCTAATGTCTTAATTTCAGCCCAAACTGTCTTAATTACAGCCAAAAACGTCTTAATTCCAGCCAACATCTGTCAAATACAAAACAAAATACACTATTTTGTTACATTTTTAAGTCGTCTGAAAATCATCAAAAAATCTACAAACGACATTGTTATCATGGTAGAACTAAGAAGGTACAGCCATGTAATCATATGCTAACATTTTTTTCAAATTTATACATTTGACAACATCTCATTGTTAAAATCTATATTCATAAATCCATTGTATACACACAAAATCAAAACTGTTTTTAATGCCTCAAAATTTAAAAAGGAAAATGCAGAGCTTGGAATTCTACTTTGAAATGAGGTTACTTTTATTTTATTGTACTATGCTTGCTATTTTATATTCATCAGCTTTTTGACAGCTTCATTATTGTTTCATACTTTTTCAACTATTTTTTCTGTTAGAACATATAACAATAATTTTTGACAGCTTGGTCTTTTGCTGTACGAAAACTGAACTATTATTAGCCAAAATATAATATTTTTATTCCTCCTTAAAGATAGGCGGATGATAAATGTACGGTTGGATAAAAATTTACATTAGACATTTTAATTCTCAATTCCCAAGCGATCTATAACATCGAACAAAAATATTACCTCGCTTTACTCATAATATAAATTCCCATTAGATGTCAGATTGAAGAGCGTTTAATGATCATCCCTCCATATGACCACATGTTTTAAAAAAAAAGATTTTTTTATATCGTCCTTGAAATTGGGTCAAAGATCTCTTTAATAAAATATAAAAATTTGCACATGTTACAACAAATTTCAAAACTTATATTTTAAGTCTTGGTGTGGAGAGGCGGTGCAGGTTGTTGTTTTGATTAACACATGTTTATTTTGCGAGTTTTACACATAAATGCAAATTGCAATACGGTTGCCGTGTACAACAGCTGCAGTGAAGATGTCGAATTTATGTTACAAATGAAATGAAACGAGTTTCCTTGTAAGCAAAGTAAATTCAGTGTGATGAAGGTCGTATGAAAATGAGGGTAATTATAAAGTTCAACTAAAGAATTAAAATTGAAAAACCCTGAGTTATTCTAATGTTGATTCTTAATTTAGAGTACATATACATACAATATCGATTTAACCCTGATAATCAATTAATCACAATGAATTCGACTATAGAAAACATGAATTGAATTTATCGTGATTGGACCATTATCCGGGTTATCCTGGATAGAGATTATCCCGGATAGAGGTTATCCCGGATAGAGATTTAGTATGTAAACTTACTTTTACCAATGCGTTTGTAAATTAACGTTTCATTTCAAACATTTTGAGTGAAACGATTAAAGCAAAGTATATAAACAATCGTTTGCAAAAAATTGCCTTCAACCAGAGTTGAATTTTACCATTGAGTACAATTTGTGACTGTATACAATTTGTCAATGACAGATATAATTATATACTTGATACAATTACAAAGGTAATTTCATGCGATAACATATGATGTCCTTCATTATCAAATTTATATTTTCGTAGTTCTTCCTTAAATATTGGCGTACAGCTGCAATAAATTTACATATATCTCACACCAAATATTTAGCCAATTCCATGCCTTTTAGAGGGTATAAACGTCAAAAAAGAATATAATTTAAAACAGAAAACTGAAACATTAGCCACATTTACGACATTGTCAGTTAAAGATTTCATTTTACCTATGGTAAAATTAAGAAGGTAAAATCATTTCAAATAAACATTCCCATCATTGCATTTTCTGTAATTTAGCTCGTCAAATTTCACTGCATGGAAATCAGGTTCCCATCTCTGATTTGTGAATGTTCAATGGAATTATAAATATACATTTTGACAATGAGATGATGTTAAATGAATAATTTTGAAAAAAAAAAATTGTATACATATGATTGCATGACTTTACCCTCTTATTTCTACCATGTTTTTACCATAGAAGCTTTATAGCAGATATTATGAAGATGCCAACTTTTCCAGATGGTTATTCAGGGTTATGATCTTTATGACATGAGCTAACAGCACTGAGAAAGTTTCCTTTAGATGAAGGGTTTAAAATCTTTATTTTTACAATTTTAAGCTAAAGACAAGCTAAATATATTTTATATGGAACATATAATTGTTTTTGTGTCCCAAGGAACGCCGAAAATATTATTTTTTATTTTGGTAAAATATTTTGTAAGTTTTATTTGAAAAGTGACAAGGTCGAGTTCGTCAGAAGAGGGTTACCTTATTCGATTTAGCAAATGAGTCTACCTCTTTTGTTTTATTCACGCTATAGATTTTTCTTATAAATTTGTTGTTTGACTTACTAAATTGTGTGGAATTTAGCCGTCAAATTCCATTGACGTATACGTAATGGAATTGACAGTTGAAATCCACTTGATTTAGTAAATCTAAATCTACTTTTAGTCATTGCCACTAACTTGCGTTCCATCCTTATATACACTTTTAAAATTAAATTCCGAAAAAAAAAAAAAACAATTCTAAAGCCATATGAAACAACAAGGAACAGTACCAACACAATGGGGAAACTATGCTGTTACTATGTCAAGAATAGACCGTTAATAAAAGCCAAGGAAAAAAGGAAATTTCATCCAGTGAGGAGGGCTGTTGTGTGTTTTGGTGACACAACAGAGTGAGTGGTCGTCGTGTGGCGAACAATCCCAAACGGTTTGTGTTAAGGCAATGCGCAAATGAGTGCATGCATTATGGGAGTGCAAAAAATGTTGTCTTTAATGGCATTTCCAAGCATGGACCTAACTGCACCCTAAATAAAGTACAGCAAAAAGAGAGCTACCCGGAAACGTGTGTGAGAGAGAGAGAGAGCAATTTTCAACTAAGGGAAAGAAACAACTTTGTGCATCGGCTTTGCCGACGACGAATAACGAATGTGCTTTGGTCGTGCATCATTATGGAAATTGATTTTTCCGTCTTTGCAAACTACTTGCTTTCTGCCGGTAGCCACAGCAAACACATGGCCAATTTTCTTCGAGGTATTGAATGAGTGAGGGAGCTTGAGAAAAACGAGAACATGACGATTAACACGAAGTTATTGCTCTTAAGAACTCTTCTTTCGGTTTTCCAATGCACATGCCAACATATACCGGCCTCATTCATGACACCGGTCTGCTGCAAGGATGAGCCCTTTTCGTTCTTCCTTCTCTTGCATGAGTTTGCTGGTTACTTTTTTTTGTTGGGGGGAAAGGGGATCTGAGCCATGCAGCAATGCAAATGGTTGGTGGTGTTGCTCTCTCGTTTTTGGGGATAAAATAGAGAGTTTTCCCTCCAACAGTCGCACAAACACACATACATATAAACAATTATTGATTTCCCGTATAGAGAAAAATCACGAACACCGCTAGACTTTAACGAGGAAAAAGCCAACAAAAATTTTGAACATTTCCAATTCAGACAGACTTACGGAAACACAAAGAATCTCCCAATAGCAGCAAACGGCAGCAGTATAAAGTGCACAAATATTATTTTTTTAATTAAAAAAATATAGAAACGGTAATAATTGTTATTATTTTTTAATAAAATAATTATTTAAATTAAAGGAAAATTGTGAAAATATTTAAATTTAAATTAACAAAGTAATTTTTTAAACCCACTTAAGAAAATAGTTATGCCAAAGTGAATTTGCAATTTCTTTTGTTTTTAATTAATTTATATTTAAAAAAATCAAGTTTTGTTTTAATTACTGTATTGTAAATTACATAAGTGTCTCCATCTATTTTATATATATTTCCAGTGCTTTTGGTGACTAGTTTCTTGGGTATACCAGCAAATAACGGTTAATTGTGCTACTTTTCTTTGTAATAAGCGGCATATAAAAAGTGTAAGTATTTTCTCTAACCCTTCCCCAAATGCATGATTTGAATATCTATAACAAGTGCAGACAATTACACATACATACACACAACATACATATACAGTAATATATACATACATATAAATTTATAAAATAACGGTACACTCATAGCCGTATTCGGCTTTGTGATATATTTTCTAAGGAGATGAGGTTATGTTGAGACACTACTTCTTTCTCACATTTCAAATTGTCATTTTATCAGACATAAAATGTGAGGTTATGTGGGATTTAAGTTTTTCAGATTTAAAAAAGAAGAGTAAATTAACAAGGAAAAAAAATGATGGCTTCCATAACTGTTAATCCAACATGGTTTTTGTTAATGCAAACCGGAAATAACAAAAAACAGGTGGAGTGACATGTTCATTTATGTTTCTGGTGGGGCTTATGGCCACACATCAAACTAGCTCATTGGCAATGGCTCAGATGAACGAAGAAGAAATTCTAATAAGATGTAAAAGAAAAACAGTTGATTATTTGAAAACTGTTAGACAATGATGGTAAATTGTTAAAGAAATAGGAAATATCAGAAAACATGGGATCACAGGGAAATATAATTAAAGGTTTACATAAAATGTGAGGTTATGTGGGATTAAAGTTTTTCATATATTTAAAAAAGAAGGGGATATTAATACAAAAAAATGATGGATTCTTTGTATAACTGTTAACGCAAACCGGAAATAACAAAAACGGGTGGAGTGACATGTTCATTTATGTTTTTAGTGGGATTTCGGGCCACACATCAAACTTGCTCATTGACAATGGCTCAGATGAACGAAGAAGACATTCTTATAAGATGTAACCGAAGAAACAATTGATTATTTGAAAACTGTTAGGCAATGATGGTAAATTGTTAATGAAATAGGAAATATCCGAAAACGTGCGATCACAGGAAAATATAATTTAAGGTTTACATAAAATGTGAGGTTATGTGGGGTTAAAGTTTTTCATATATTTAAAAAAGAAGAGGATATTAACACGAATAAAATGATGGATTCTTTGATCGAAGAGGAATTTATAATAAGATGTAACCGAAAAAACAATTGATTATTTGAAAACTGTAAGGCAATGATGGTAAATTGTTAATGAAATAGGAAATATCTGAAAATGTGGTATCACAGGAAAATATAATTTAAGGTTGACTGACAAAGAAAGTAGATCATAAATGCTCTGTTCCAGAACCTGCAAGAATTTAGTAGTTTTGAAATTTGTTCCGATATCCTAAAAGAAAAATCGATTGTCGTAGTAAAACCTTTTACATTCTTGCAGTTCTGGAACATACCAAAAGTCAGCTCAAGAAAAAAACTGTTTTTTTTAGCCATCTTCAACAGTAAAGGTGTGAGTACATAAGAAGCTTGGCATCATGGCTAGGCATATTGATGTCGAATTATAAAGAAAATTGACGGCAAGATTCGAATGATATGTGATATGATATGTCACAAAATATGCCATGCGAAGACTCTCACCTATGGAAAGTTTAAACCTGTCCTAAAAATTTTGATAGCACTAAAAATGTACATTATGCATCGGAAACCTTTATTAGTTTCTCAATTTGTGTATCCATGTGTCGCTTTCATTCCTTATTAACCTTAGGGTCAAAATCGAACTAAGTCAATCTGAAACTCCTTTGTTCCTCTACGAAAGCCTGTCAAATAAGCGTTTTATGTATTCCCACCTTAAGTAGGGACATGTTAGTTATGGTCCACAACTAAAAATTGTCTGATATTTTCCAGTTCCCGCACTACAAAAACTTACAAAATGTTAACTTTTCTATAAAAACAACAATTTGTGCGTTCTCTTTAAAAACGTTTTACACCACGAATTTGGGCGAGAAAAGGTGGAAAGTCTGTCAAATAGCGAATTTGACATTTCATACAATTCAAGACCACGTGGTATCTGATGTTTCTAATAAGACGAAAGGGACAATTTTGTCGTCTGATTGAAATGCATCAGAAAAAAAGGGCAAACTCGCAAATCTTTCAACTTTTATTTTTGTCAGCTGTTTGAGAGCGTCAATATTTTCGAAATGATTTTCTATTCATTCTGTGAGAGCATATTACAACAATTTTTGACATTTCGCTTCCCACCTACGTTTACTCCTAAAAAAATGCAGGACCGAAACTTTTCTGTGTCTGACTTTGTCATAAAAAATTGACAACTTATTAATAGTGAACTTTAACCTTTACTTTTCCTAAAGTAGGCCATAGTTATTCCGTACTTCAGGAACGATTTTCGTTACCCATTTTCTTATTTGAATAGATACAATTGAATTCAGTAAAGTTTACGTTAAAGATAAAAGGAAGATGGTCTGACCCATGGTACAATGAAGAGAAGGTAGGTCAACTTTGAAAAAATTGCAAGTATAGAGGTCTACCTGTTTGGCTTGTAATGTCAGAATTAATATCAAAACAATAAAAAATTAAACAACTTGTTGCATTTATTTTGAATAAATAATTGAAAACCGCGAAAACTGAATGAAAGGTCAACACTTCTTTTCAAATCCAGGTTCTATATATCTCTAAAGGATTATTTCGCTACAAAAACTCTAGATTTTGTCGATGCATACGATGAAATAAACATTTTGAAAACATCCGAATTTGAATGTTTTCTGAACAATTTTTTTGTTATTGAAAAGAAAACACATACATAAATAAATAAAGATGACATATTAAGCCACATAAGAAAACACATACAAAAACAAATAAAGATGACATATTAAGCCAAGAAAATAAAGAAATTGAAATCATATGGTATCATAGCCCTACCTTGATATCATTGTACCATGGTCTGACCCATGGTACAATGATATCAAGGTAGGGCTATGATACCATATGATTTCAATTTTTTTATTTTCTTGGCTTAATATGTCATCTTTATTTGTTTTTGTATGTGTTTTCTTGTCAATAACAAAAAAATTGTTCAGAAAATATTCAAATTCGGGTGTTTTCAAAATGTTTATTTCATCGTATGCATCGACAAAATCTAGAGTTTTTGTAGCGAAATAATCCTTTAGAGATATATAGAACCTGGTTTTGAAAAGAAGTGTTGACCTTTCATTCAGTTTTCGCGGTTTTCAATTATTTATTCAAAATAAATGCAACAAGTTGTTTGATTTTGTTATTGTTTTGATACTATTTCTGACATTACAAGCCAAACAGGTAGACCTCTATACTTGCAATTTTTTCAAAGTTGACCTACCTTCTCTTCATTGTACCATGGTCTGACCGTTTGCTTATCGGATAGTTTATATTTAAATGAAACTTGTAATAAAGAACAAAAATTGATTAGTCCGAAAACATCATTTTTTATCTATTAAAAGGCTGTAATAACCGGCCAATATGACATTGCATTTTTCAAACTAGCTTTTATGGCCAAGTCTAATAGAATTTTTCTAAATACCATATTACAATCAACGATTCAATCATTTTATACTACGCAAAAAAAAAGAATAGAAATGATAGCAATGCTGGGCTTTATGTTTCAGAGCATCCAGTCTTAATATAACATCCCAAAAAATTGATATTCAGCCAAGCTTAAAAATGTTTTCAATAAAAAATTGCTGTTCTCTTCGCTTTTTTTCCTTCAAAAAAAGAAAGTAAGATGTATCGCATCATCCAATTAAAACAGTGGAATAAAGCATCTTTTTAAGAAAAATTCTACTCTTTAGGGTGATTCGAACATTTTATTCAGTCAGGTGGAATACAGTTCTCTTTGGGAAGAATGCTATTTAGCCACTTTTCAATTCGGCTTTTTTTGGAAAACTATTTTGGTTTCCCTTAAAGAAATTCTATTTAAATTTTAATTACCTAATGTGAAAACATTTTTTTGGGAAATCTATTCAGCCAACCTGAATACAGCTTTCTTTGGGAAGAGTTCTAAGTTGGATTTGTCATTGCAGGCAGTATATGGGTTTTAAAGAAACCAAACCAAAAACCAACCTTAGGAATAACGTTCATTTAACATTCACTAGTAAAAAATTAAATTAATTACTGAAACAGCCCTAATTTTCCTTTTCATTTATTTCTCCATTTTCCAGCATCTAGCGATACAATAGCTTCGTAAAGCAAATAGACCGACGGTAATTTCTTTTATTTTCATCATTTTTTGTGTTGAGTAAAACCGGAAATTCCCTCTACGACATCTACACTTCAACATGGGCAAGGAAAAGATTCATATTAACATCGTGGTCATTGGACATGTCGATTCGGGCAAGTCGACGACTACCGGTCATTTGATTTACAAGTGTGGCGGCATTGATAAGCGTACCATTGAAAAGTTCGAAAAGGAAGCCCAGGAAATGGGCAAGGGTTCCTTCAAGTATGCCTGGGTATTGGATAAGCTAAAGGCCGAACGTGAACGTGGTATTACCATTGATATTGCCCTGTGGAAGTTTGAGACACAAAAATACTATGTGACCATTATCGATGCCCCTGGACATCGTGATTTCATTAAGAACATGATTACCGGCACCTCGCAAGCCGATTGTGCTGTTTTGATTGTGGCTGCCGGTACCGGTGAATTTGAGGCTGGTATCTCGAAGAACGGGCAGACGCGTGAACATGCTCTGTTAGCCTTTACATTGGGTGTCAAACAATTGATTGTGGGTGTGAATAAAATGGACTCGACCGAGCCACCCTATAGCGAGGCACGTTATGAGGAAATCAAGAAGGAAGTTTCATCGTACATCAAGAAAATCGGCTACAATCCGGCCGGTGTTGCATTTGTACCCATATCCGGTTGGCATGGTGATAATATGTTGGAACCATCGGATAAAATGCCCTGGTTCAAGGGATGGACCGTGGAGCGTAAAGAGGGTAAAGTTGAGGGCAAGACTTTAATTGATGCCTTGGATGCTATTATGCCACCATCTCGTCCCACCGACAAGCCATTGCGTTTGCCATTGCAGGATGTCTATAAGATTGGTGGTATTGGTACAGTACCAGTGGGACGTGTTGAAACTGGTATCCTAAAACCAGGTAAGTTAATTTGAGAGTTAATAAAGTGGGTCGTCGGGTTTTGTGGGGGTAGATGAATAAAGGGAGGTGCTGCTTATTGTAGTGCCTTTTCTTTTATTTTTTATTTATTATTTCCTTTTTAATTATTTTCGTGTGTATGTGTGGCTGTGGGGTTTTTGTTTGGCAATTGGGGCGCCTCTTTGTATGTATCCACAGTAAATGCCATTCGGCGAGAGAGATTTGCCGAGAGAGAGAGGGAGAGAAAATGTGTTTGACGACTTCATATCCCTTGCATTTACAAAAGTTTTCTTTTTTTTTTTTGTTTTTTTTTTTCCTAGGCATGGTGGTCAATTTTGCCCCGGTTAATCTGGTTACTGAAGTCAAGTCGGTGGAAATGCATCATGAAGCTCTGTCCGAAGCTTTGCCCGGTGACAATGTAGGCTTTAACGTCAAGAACGTTTCGGTTAAGGAATTGCGCCGTGGTTATGTGGCTGGCGATTCTAAGAATTGCCCACCCAAGGGTGCTGCTGACTTTACAGCCCAGGTTGGTATTTGATGTGATATATTCCAGGACTAAATGTAATTGGAATTTCTCATTACAGGTTATTGTCCTCAATCATCCTGGCCAAATTGCCAATGGCTATACCCCGGTATTGGATTGCCATACAGCTCATATTGCTTGCAAATTTGCCGAGATCAAGGAGAAATGTGATCGTCGTACCGGCAAGACCACGGAAACCGATCCGAAGGCCATTAAGTCGGGTGATGCAGCCATTATTATGCTGGTACCCACCAAACCGTTGTGTGTGGAGAGTTTCCAAGAATTTCCACCATTGGGACGTTTTGCTGTACGCGATATGCGTCAAACTGTTGCTGTGGGTGTCATTAAATCGGTGACATTCAAAGAGACGACTTCGGGTAAAGTCACAAAAGCCGCTGAGAAGGCCCAAAAGAAGAAATAACTAGGGAGCAGCCAGAAGAAAATGCAACAATTTGTACAACAACAAGAACAACAGCAAAATGTTACACCACACCAAGAACAACAACCAGAAGATGAAAAACAATATCAATTTCTGCTCCCAAATGGATGGATGGCATATGAAGAAAACTCATTTAATAAGCATAAATATAAACCTAATATTAACAACAACAAAAAAAGCAACAGCAAAAAAATCATCATTAACAACAATAACAACATTAATAATATTATAAAAATTATTCAAACAACATTTAGTGATTATTACAACCACAACCAAAATAACAAAAACAACAACAACAATAAGTATCATTCAAAAATTACACTACACCAGCTACAGTCATCACAATTTATTCCACTGGATATTAAACACAAATTCCAAAAATACTCACCCACTACTACTACCACAACTGGCAGCCTTCAATATTTTCATAATCATTTTAGAAGCATAGAAAAGACATTACTTCCTAATAACAACAAACCTACAACAGCATCATCATCAGCATTCCTTGAATCCTATACACTTGGTTTACAGTCACTTTCACAATCACCCATCATGGCCATCATCATTATTACTCTCATCATCGTCATCAATCACATCGTCATTATTAAGAATTATGAAGATTTTACTAAAAATTTGGAAAGCATTTTAATACAACTTTTTATAGAGTTTTTCCTAATTTATTATAATTATTTGTATCTAAATTTACACAGACATCGTAAATCGTTTCGCAGGAAATCATTGGCTGCATCTTCATCGTCATCGTCGTCATCATCACCATTAACATCATTCTCTTGCCGCCGCACACAAGTTCTACCACAAGATCTCTCCTTGTTTTGTCATCATCATCGGATAATGCCAATTAATTGGGTTATTTTGAATGGCTTATAATCATGACTTACAATATGTTATCTCGTCTGGAATTCAATAACCAAAATTAACAGATGAGAAACACATTTTTGAAAACAAATGCCATACAAATATCACAGCATTCACTCATCATTTTTCATGTCATAACATCAAACGTTTTTTTTTTTTAATACCAAATCGAAATTTTTAACTTTTAATTTATTTGCTTAAAAAAATAACTTGAAAATTTAATTTTGCTTAGCAAAAAATGTGATTTGATTTAATCTGAAGAGGTATCCCTTTAAGGAATATATTGACAAAAAAAAAAGAACTAATACTTCTAAGGATTATTTTTCCCCGATGCGCAAGGAAATAAAATGAATTATGTGCATAATAAATATTTGAATAAAAAATGAAATGAAAAAGAATATGAATCCTTTTTTTTAACAAACCAATTGGCCAACTTAAGTTATTTTAATTAATAACATTATTTTTTTTTTTAAATACACCGCCACCACAACCACCCAAACCAAAAAACAACCAACAATAAACAAAATACATTTACACTTTTACACTCGTCGACTAAAGAAAACAAAAAACAACCACCCAATGCGGCTTGGCTTAAGCAGTTTGAACTATCTTGAAAACAAACAATGTTGGCTCAAAAAAACCCAAGAGATCTTCTGTCTTTCTTTTTTGTAATGAATGTGCAGGCTTTTAGAGAAACCTATTTTGGAGTATCCTCCTATCCATCAAATATATATAATCACATGCGATGATGATAATATACAACAACAAACACACACGCGCCAAGACATAATAACTTGTAATAAGCGAAATGTGGGATACAAAAGGAATAATTATGAAAATCGAATAACAACAACAACTTCATATTATATCGAGAAAAAAAAAACCAACACAGAATTAAAATTAATGAAATACTATAAATGTATGTGCTTCATTCTTAAAAAAACCAAAAAAGAAAACGTAAATAAAAACAACAATAAAAGTAATACGATATAATAAAAGGGATTTATTTATTATTGGGGCACTTTAAATATCCCTTTGCGGTTTTGGAAAATAAAGCAAAGATGTGGTGTTTTTATCACTAATGACCATGCGTCCCGTAATATCGTGTTTAACATCTTTTAAATACACTGTTTTCACTTTAAGGTTCTTCCTTAGTTTACTTGCTCTCTAATGTGATTACAATGGGGAAACAAAATTGACTTTTTTTATTCGAATCCTTGAAAAACTTGGGCACTTGGATCTAAAAGCAGAAAATTGGGGTTTATTGTCACCAATGTCTATACGTCCAGTAATATTTCCTTTAACGCCTTTTAAATGCGCTGTTTTAGCTTTTATTGGAGATTTCAATGGACCATAAGGACACGCATAGGTAAAACCCGTATCGATGATAGATAGGAATCTTTAACACTTCTTATAAAATTTGTTGCCATTCTAGTCCTTCGGAATAGTTAATCCAATGTGATTGGATCATGTTCTGTAACACTTTCTTCAATCGGGTTTAATATGGAAAATAAATTTGGTTTACTCCTAAAAGTATGCTACATTTTTTATATATTTAATTTGTATGTCATTGAATGGAGGGATAGTTTGTTGACATTTCTAATCCTTTTTTAACTTATTTAAATAACCAATAGAGATTAACGCAGAAGGAAAAGCTATTTTTCAGATCCATTTGGACGAAGAATTTTCTTATATATTCGACATAACAGCCAAGGAACACGATTTGAAGCATTCCTTGCAAATACAAATATAGGACCCCATTTAAGTTTATCCACTAGAAAGAGGTTTTTATTAAAATATTGACATAGATTCCAACAATTTTGTAAATTTAATAAAAAAAAATAAAAGTTTTCTCATGTTATTAATGTTGGACCTTCAATCTAAATCGAAACGCTTTTACATTATTGCGAAAGTTTCATGCCCGAATTCATCTTCCATATATGGAGTTAAATATGAAGTTCCACTTTCCACCTGATTTTACTGCAATTTGTCCCTAGAAAAGTTCTTTGGTATCACTTTTACTTGTTTTAATTGTTCCAATAAAGCCATTTTGATCTCTATGAGAAATTCCTTAAAAATGCATATTTCACCAAAAATGTACAACAGAATAGAAGAAATCAACAAGTTTTCTATAAATCTTTTTTACATTATCTTTACTATAACTTCTTTTAGTCTTCCCTTAAAGGATTCAAATGTAATATTGAAAATTTTTAAGGTGTCATATCGACGTTCTATTATCCCTTTCACTACTCTCTTAAAAGAAACAGATAACTGCCTTTCCTCCAAACGCCTTATAAATAGACCCACGTTTACCAAAACAAACTGAATGGAAATGCTTCATAAAAATTTGGTTCTTTGTAAGAAAACAAAAATCTTCGATAATCACCCAAAACAGTCTGGAATTCTATAACACATCACATATATTTCTTTATGAGAAATGAATGGCATTCTAAAGCACTTTAAAAAGAAAAAAGGTAATTAACGTAATTCAAGATTTAAAATAATTTTTCTAAAATTTTACCAGAAACTCATCAAATCCATTAGAATAATATTTTATTAACCCAACAAGGTTCCAATACCGGATTGCAATTGTGTTTAACTCATAAAAATTGAGAACTACATTACCACGTATTACGACGTTCCTTGAAAATTACTTCTTCAATGTTCTGCATACAATTATTTTTTGGAATTTATTATTCTAAACTAAATAATAAACAAACTTACACGCTAACAATGCCAATTAGATCTACTGCCACTCACTATCAGAATTATATTCTTCCCAATCTAATTCTTTATCCAAGGGTAAATTTCTTTTTTCCAAATAGGCATTGAATTGTTCTTTAACATTCATAAATTGTTTGATTTTCATGCGAAATTGTTTCCAGGTCCATTGATCATGATTGCGACGATCCGTAACCATGGCTTTGTAATTGAATTTGTATTTGTCCATGAAATACGAAATGTGGCTAACAACACCCTTGGGTAATCTGTAAACAAGAAGAAAATCATATTAAAAACATTTTATGGAAGAAAACTTAGTTTAATTACAACTTACCTAAACTTCGAATCGGCTTTCTGTTTGGCCATCTCCTCCATTTCATTGACAACATGTCCCCGCTTGGGCACGGGTTTGACATCTTCCTCGGTAAGTTCCTCTTCTTCAAACCCATTGACAATTTTAGTTATTTTCAAACGATCTTTTTTGAAATTTGGTATAGGTACAGATTTATTGGGATCAACGCATAGGCCCATTTCACTGAAATTGGTACCGGGTCTTTTGGAGTCTTCCCACAGCTTTTTAAAGGCAGGACTGAAAAAAGTGTTCATGTCATTAGAACATACAAATGCCTCGTATGTTGTCTACTTACTCTTTGATTTTACCCGTCGAAGATCTGGTTTTATTCAATGTTTTCCTATTCACATTGTAACGATAACGTTTTTGACGATGATTTCTACGAATTTTCATTGTAAAATTATTAATTTAATAAATTATCCTCGTAATATTTAAGAAATCAACTATATCAACAAATGAACAAATGTTTACACGTGCTGCCTCTGTGAGCGAGAGAGAATCATTCGAATGACAACTGTCAGAGAGACAGTCAGAGTAGTAATACTTAAATTGTGGCGTAAAGTGTATGACGAGTGACAGTAATGTAAGTTAACATTTGATATTATTTTAACTTTTTTGGTATAATAGATTAGGAGATGTAGTCTCCCATAAGACTTAATTATATGAAGCAAAAAATTTGTTGCAATATTTCCTGCGTTTACGTGTCATTGCAGATTTCATCTCCCGGTAAAATGAGAGTGTCAATCCCTTGAAAGAAAATAAAAAAGGGTGAATCAAATAGACGCAATAGACATTATTTCATTTCGCGCTTTTTCAATAAAACAACAACAACAACAAGGGCAAATTGCCCTGAATCAGAGTTGTATTGGCAATACCTTATACGTTTTTTGGGTTTAATTAATGCAGAGGAAACTTCAAATGAGAAGATAAAGATTGCCTCAAGCAAACTCGCCTAGTGTAAATATGGATAGTGACCACATATAAACAAAATTTATTATTTTGAAAACTAATGCTTGAAATCTGTTGTATATAAATTCATGTTTTTCCCATAACCACCCAACCTATCCATCCCTATTCTCAGCTGTTGTCGGTTATTATACATCACACTCACATTCGTAACGTCTCTGTGTTTGCCTCTTCCCATACGTAAACTCCGGCATTTGGTTTTGTTTTCTGTTTAATATTTATCAGGCATTTCCTTTTACTATTCTAATTTGTATCGTTTGGATTGTCCACATTGTGTTTCGGAACGACACAACTCCTGCAAACAAATCCTGAAATAGAAACGTCTTTCGAAGATCACCAATAAAAAAGCACAATGCGCGATATACAAATATTAGATCCCCGAAATCTGGTTAAAAACCGTGAAATTCTCTACCGGCTCATTATCAGGTAAGTCAATCATCTATGGTTTAACTTTTCCAAAGCTGGGAATTATCAATAAATCATCTCTTTTACTTTTAGCCAGCTTATGTATGATGGCTTGGAAAAATTTGCCATGGAATTGTCCATGTTGGTAAAGGCTGACGAGTGTACACCGAGTGAGCGTCTTCTACATGTCATGATTGCCGGCATGCAGGCTCTGTCTGACAAAGAACCCGCCCCTAAGGATGATGTTTTGCCTTGCATTGATTTGGAGTTTGAACCCGATGCAGCTGCAATGGCTCCCGAACCAGCATCGTATGAGACTGCATATGTGACATCACACAAGGCTTCATGTCGTGCGGGTGCCTTCAGTCATGATGGTACACTGGTGGCTACCGGCAGTCAAGATGCTAGTATAAAAATTCTTGATGTAGAACGTATGCTGGCCAAATCGGCTCCAGAAGAACTTGACACTGGCCGGGAACAGCAAGGACATCCTGTTATACGTACCCTTTACGATCATACGGATGAAGTGGCCTATTTGGAGTTCCATCCCAAGGAGCATATATTGGCTTCGGGCTCGAGAGATGGCACAGTGAAATTGTTTGACATTGCCAAACCTTCGGTGAAGAAAGCCCACAAAGTCTTCACCGATTGTGAACCGGTAACATGTTTGAGTTTTCATCCATCCGGAGATTTTATGGCAATTGGTACGGAACATTCGCTGCTTAGGCTTTATGATGTTCAGACGGCACAGTGCTTTGTCAGTGCCATTGGATCACAGCATCATAATGGTTCCATAACTTGTGTGGCTTTTGCACCCACAGCCAAAATTTATGCCAGTGGAAGCATTGATGGTTGTATTAAAATATGGGATGGTGTTAGTGGGCGTTGTATTAATACCATACCGGATGCTCATGATGGTGCGGAAATATTTTCCATACAATTTACAAGGAATGGAAAGGTAAGTAGTACTACTCACTTCTATAATTCTAAACACAAATTAAAAAATGTTTTCCTTTTTTTAGTATCTTCTTTCCTCGGGTAAAAATTCATTGGTATATCTTTGGGAACTGTGCACAAGTCGTCCGATACAGACATACACTGGTGCCGGAACCACCGGTAAACAGGAGCATAATACCCAAGCCGTTTTCAATCACACCGAAGACTATGTCCTGTTCCCCGATGAAGCTACGACATCTTTGTGTTCATGGAATTCTCGCAATGGCAGCCGTTTGAATTTAATGTCATTGGGTCACAATGGACCGGTGCGTTTTATAACACACTCTCCAAATTCGCCGGCATTCCTAACATGTTCTGACGATTTTCGTGCCAGATTTTGGTATAGACGTACCACCAATCAATAGATGTTCTGATGAGCACTTTATGATGACAAGAAAGAAATGTTTGTAGATTATAAGAAATTTTTAGATGCTTAGAAAATAAATGAAAAAAAAATTGTATGGAAAATAATTAGAAGAAGGGTGTGATGGAAGTGTTGAAATCTGCAAAAAATTATGTGAAAAAGTTATGGAGGCCATATGGTGTTTTGTTAAGAGATAATTTTGTCTATTCTATGAGATGCCTTCGATGAGAAGCCCTTATGCCTCCAATAAGAAGACTTTCTGGCCTTCGATGAGAAGACCTTCTGGTCTTCTAAGAGAAGACCTTCTGGTCTTCTAAGAGAAGGCCTTCTGGTCTTCTATGAGAAGACCTTCTAGTCTTCTATGAGAAGACCTTCTGGTCTTCTATGAGAAGACCTTCTGGTCTTCTATGAGAAGACCTTCTGGTCTTCTATGAGAAGACCTTCTGGTCTTCTATGAGAAGACCTTCTGACCTTCTGGTCTTCTATGAGAAGACCTTCTGGTCTTCTATGAGAAGACCTTCTGGTCTTCTATGAGAAGACCTTCTGGTCTTCTATGAGAAGACCTTCAAGTCTTCTATGAGAAGAGCTTCTAGTCTTCTATGAGAAGAACTTCTGGACTTCTATGAGAAGACCTTCTAGTCTTCTATGAGAAGAACTTGTGGTCTTTCATGAGAAGACCTTCTGGTCTTCTATGAGAAGACCTTCTGGTCTTCTATGAGAAGACCTTCTGGTCTTCTATGAGAAGACCTTCTGGTCTTCTATGAGAAGACCTTCTGGTCTTCTATGAGAAGACCTTTTGGTCTTCTATGACTTTCTGCTCCTGTATGAGAAAAACTACTGGTCTTCTGTGAGAAGACTTATGCTCCTGTATGAGAAGAACTACTGGTCTTTAAAAAGGTTGCCTCCAGGTCCTCTTATTTACAGGGTGAGATGAAAAAATTGCAACCATCTTCAGACTGCTGTCATTTCTACCATCGCTCGTTACCGTGATACTGGTAGTAGGTAGCGTAGCCCGACGTCAAGGAATTGGACGGAAGAAAACAGCAACATCATCAGAAAAGGTTCAAAAAGTAAAGAAGCGACATGGTCGAAACTCGCGTCGTAGTGGCCGAAAAATGGCTCGTGAGCTGAACATATCGCAAATATTGAAAAATCAGCTCGGGTTAAAGTCACTGAAATTCCAAAAAAGTGGAAGAACTTAAACCGCAACAGAAAGACTCAAAAGAGCTAAAGAGTTGCTTTGCATGGCCGAAAGTGGTGAACTGCCGAATTTGGTTTTCTCCGATGAGAAGACATTCGTTGTCCAGCAGTTTGTAAACAAACAACAAAAAAATGGTCGTGTTTACTTCCCAAAGAGGTCAGCTGAAAATGTGCACCTTCGGTTGGCCACCAGAACTGAAGCTCCGGCCATGGTGATGGTGTGCGCAGCCACAACGGTCGATGGTCGCTCTTCGCTCGTATTAATCGACCGTGGTATCAGAATAAATGATGATTATTATAGCGGAAATATTTTGGAGGGTGTATTAAAGCCTTGGGAACGCAAACATTTTGGCCGCAGACCTTGGACATTCCAACAGGACTCAGCAGAATCGCACACAGCACGCGCCAACCATGAATAGTTACAAATGAGGTTCCTCGCTTCATTTCCAGCGCACAATGGCCACCAAAATCTCCGGATACCAATTCGCTGGACTATTGTGTGTGGAATATTTTGAAAAGCAAGGTTTGCACTAAAAAATGCCCAAGTGTCGATCACGTCAAGAAAGCGCTTCGCCGGGAATGGGCCACATTATTACAGAGAAACATTTGGGCAGCGTGTGACGGTTTCATTGGCCGTTTGAAGGACATAATTCGTGCCAAAGGTGACCAATTCGAACAAATCTAAACTTATTCTAAAATTTGATGCTATTTCCGATATTTTCTGCTTTAATTTAATAAAATGTAAAGATTATGGCTTTTGACTTTGTTGGGGTTTTTTCTTTATCTCACCCTCTATATTAAACAATTAATTAAAAAAATATATTACTTCTTGTGTTTGAATATTATTTTCTTAGTTTTATTTTTAAATCATATATAAAATTCCATTTTGCACAATCTTGTTTTGTTTAAAATATTATAAATAAAAAGTAAATATGTATTTCATTTTTGTTTTTCATGTAAATCCTTTTAGTTGAGCGTTAAATTGCATTAAGTCGTGTTTTGTTTTAAAACATTATGTTATTTTAAATATAATCTAAATAATTTGACTTAAAATACAGTTTTTAAAATAATAATTGCTTTTAGTTTTCAAAACGAGTTATGATATTGGGTAAATGCAGCAAACATCTGCAGAGCATTCCTCTTATTGCTTATAGATTTTGTGCTTAATATTCTAGTTTGTTATGTATGCTTAAAATTGATTTATTATTTGCAAAAGCATAAGTCGTATAGCAAATTTTTAGGATAATTTCCAAATTTAATGAAGGCAAGGAGATGAGTAAATATCTCTGTTTTTTTTTTTCAATTTGCTATGTGACCTAGGCATATAGATTTGAGAAATTTTGAAATATTTTCATATTCTGATTTTACTTTTGTAATCTACCACTGGAAGTTAATGTTTTGTTGTTATTGTGTTTTTTAATATTTAAATATTATTTAAAAATTGTAATAGGAGTAATTTCGGTGAGTTAAAGTATTGTAAAGTCTTATTAATTGCTTTATATATTTAATGCTTATATTTGCTATATTATTTATAAATAATATATTATTTCTAGTCCTTTTTATATAATTGCACACTTTAGAATAGATGTTTCTTGTTTTTTTCTCTCTCTCTTTCTCTAAATTATAAAAAATAATTTGAGTATTAATTTTATCTTAACATAAATATATACAAAAATATTTTCCAGAAATAGTTCTTTTTAATATTAAAAAATAATACAGTGTTTTTTTGTTGTAAAAAATAAAATAAAATCACAAAATAAATTTTTTCAAAAAATAAAAGTTCGAATTTTTTTCAAAGACAAAACGTTTTTTTGTAGGTGTTATTAAAAAATTGTGTAGGTCATTTAAAACAATTGAAATCACAAATTAAATAATAATTTTATATAAGAAAATATGTTAAAATTTTTATTAAGGCTTGATTTTTTATTTGCTTTCGTTGTGAAATGCAATTTAAGTAGCTTTTGCTGGAAATAGAGAAAATTCAACGTAAAATACACAAACAAATTAAAGCAAAACATATTATTTTTAATTTTTATTAAAAAAAACAAAGGACGGACAATTGGTAACGAAAACAAAGAACAATACAGAAACGAAAAATAAACCAACAAGAAAGTATGAGAAATAAGAATAAAAAAACGAAATACACGAAAAGAGCGGGTTTCCTTATGACGATACGAGTGTGAATTCCAAAGAAAACACCATTTCAAATGGGTTTTTCTTTCAGAAATATGAAAATCATATTTGGAACCATGTTTGGAACTGTATTTTTCCCATTCTCATTCTTGTTCATATCTTCATGGAAAACAAGGCCCTAAATACCTTAAAAAACATTAAAAACTTGAAAATTATCGCCGTCAAAGGAAAAGGCACGATCTTCGCTTTTACGAGCAAAATTACAAAGAAGCTCTTGAGGATGGCGCTTTAGGTCAACCGAAAAGAAGACTTTCCTGTATTTTTCTAAGATAAAATACTATAGATGACTTTACACAAGGAAACACTGTAAATGGCTTCATTTTAGAGAACCGTTCTTTAGATGAAATGTCTTCTTTGAAAGGAATTGCTTTCGGCTGGTCCCTCTACCAATAGAATATCAATGATGGTATGTTATTTATTGAATAACTTCAAAGCATTTTCATCCATGGAATATCTTTTGAAGGCTGTTGGAAGGAAGAAAAAGAAGAACATTCTTTTATTAACACACAAATTTTCTTCCTATATTTGGAATACCAACTTGAAAGCATTATCATAAAAAGTTTTTTTATTATTACACACAAAAGTATTCCACAAAACCAATGAAGATTCTTACTATGAAGAGCTCTTATATTTGCCAAGAACCACTAGATGACATTTTGACAAAGGCTATCAGAAATTATTCTCTTGAAATATAAAATCATCAATTTAGCTAACTTTGAAATACAAACTTCCAAGGATTTCCTAAAAAATACATATTTTTTAAAAAAAACCAAAAGGTGTTCCAGAATTCAATGAAGAGTTCTTCTTTCTTCAAAAGTATTTCAACTTAGATCAAAGCCCGTGCTGGTGTATTCTACTGTCAAGTAAAGTGCCATTATGTAGGGGATGAATTAGTTAGAGATAGTTTCCAGTCGAAATTAAGTCTTTCATCAAGAAAGACTAACTCTTGAAAACCGTGGGAAAAACCGTATCTTGTGCCATATGGCCTATCATCACGAATGGAAGAATAAGCTCCCTTCTATCACTTAGCGAGTATGATCTAAAAATTACGGTGGGTATAAAGTGGCTGATGAATAAGCTAGAGGTAGTTCCCAGTCGATTGATCTAACGATTGTTGATACTGTCAGACATTATTATATTAGCTGCTTCAACAAATCTCTCATCAAAGAAGATAACTCATGGAAACCGTATTTTAGGCCATATGGCCATTAATCTCGAGAAGAGAAATAAGATCCCTTCTATTACTTTGGCGGGTATAATCTATAAATTACGGTAGGCATACTGCTTTGCCACCGCATTATTGGATATTTGACCTAAAAATAGGATAAAAGTGTGAATATGAAGAAGATCTAGAGACGATTGGACGCCTACTATCCAGATTGACATATGTATGATTTCATGGATAAAAATAGAAATGGGAATGTCTAATAATCAAGTAGTTATTATGTCTCTTCAAGAAGTCTCTTATCAAATAAGCAGGAAGAAAATGGAAAACTCGAAAAGAAGAAGATCCTGCTCCCTTCTATCACTTTGCAGTTCTGATCTTAGAATCGCGGTAGGCATACTGATTGGCCACTGCAGTATTGGACATCTGATATTAAAATGGGCAGTGTTCCTGACTATTGTAGAATATGTAAAGATGGAGAAGTGATAGAAACTATGTTTCCTAATTAAAGACATAAATAGGAAACACAGGCAATTTGGTGGGAGGGAT